CAACAGAGCTCATTAACATAAACAGCTCTTCTGAACAGAAGTCAGAGCAGGCAGAACTAGAAAATGGGAAATTTTATTATCTGAGAATTATTTTGTGCATTAAATTGAATGAAGATGGTCTGGATAGCCCACAGACATACCATAAACATTTCTACGACCCATAATTGGTCTCCTTTAAATATTCCATTGTGTTTTTATGATCTTTCTCTCAAATTCATCAGAATTACCTTTAAATATTTTGAAGACTACATAGTAATAAGAATTAGAAAAAAATATGCTTGAATAATTCAGTTGTACTAGTTCTTGCGAAATTCGGTATAAACAATATACAGTATTTTTCTTTTTTACGTGAATATGTTCTTTTTTTTGTCCTGATGTGTATAATAATAATAATAATAATTTTGTTGTTTTATTTTATAATGTCACCTCCACTGACCGTAAAGGTTTCCAAAAAGGCCTTGAAAAGGCCCACGGACCAGCAGTTGATAATCTCAGTTGTAGCTTGTTTTGCGGCTCCGGACACATTTTATTAGTGAGACTAGGAGCAGAAATGGCTCTTTTGATTGTAAAGGTTGTAGAGCTCTGCTTTAGGTACTCCTCCTTCAAGGTAAGATGTGAAGCGGTCCACGTTAAACAGGCTGGTTCTGCTCGGAGCTGTTTGCACACAGTTCAACATGTGGTCCAGTGTGTGCGGGTGAAGACACAAGCAGCTCAGACGTGTTGTGGTCAGAATTAAAGGTCAAGCTTTTCTTGAAGGAATGCATATCACCCTGTCATGCTTAAGTTTTATACTTAGCTCAGTTCATGTTGAAAAAAAGACTTGTTCAGGTTTCGGTCAAACCTTGAAAACTAAATATTTCTTGATCTCATTGTTGGAAAAATCTGCGTTGTTCAAAATGGTACGTCAGAATAAACAGGAATCAGCTGGATTTCTTCTTTAAAACTTCATTTTTAAACTTCTGACTCCAGTCAGGTTCATTCAGCACTCAGCAGCACAGGTCTCAGTAAGACCTTGGGCTGAACCAAAACAAACACAGGAGCCCTGCTCTGAGCAGACACTGTAAACACTGACAACTTCTTCTTACTCTAATAATGAACAGAGCTTATAACGTTCATCTCTTCCTGCTTACAGCACAGGAGGTGTTACCTTTACGTCACACGTCACAACGTACTCATTTTGTTTAGGCTAAACCAAGAACACATGATAAGGCTGACTCTAGAAGACCTCCAGATGTTCCTCAACAATTTCTGATGTAGCATTTCAAAATAAAAGCACTCCCATTGTACCTTTAATGTTACCCTAAGTTGCTGTCTTTATTGCAACTAAATGGTTATTTGTCAGAGACTGGTCTTCATTTAGGATGACWGTAAAAGTCCTCCGGATGTTCCTCAACAATTTTGAGCAATATCTGTTGTGGCATTTCAAAATAAAAGCATTCCCATTATTGTTATAGTACCTTTAATGTCACCCTAAGTTGTTGTCTTTATTGCAACTAAACGGCAGGTTGTCAGAGACTGGTCTGACTTCACACTGACTCTAGAAGACCTCCAGATGTTCCTCAACAATAATGAGTAACTTCTGATGTAGCATTTCAAAATAATGGCACTCCCAATACTTACATTATAACTTTCTCTGCCCCTAAGTTGCTGTCTTTATTGCAACTAAATGGTTAGTTGTCAGAGACTGATCTCACTTCAGAATGACTGTAAAAATCTCCAGATGTTCTTCAATAATTTTGAGCAACTTCTGCTGTAGCATTTCAAAATAACGGCACTCCCAACGCTGACATTTTACAATTATGGTTCACCGTAAGTTGCTGTCTTCATTGCAAATAAACGGATAGTTGTCAAAGACTGCTCTCACTTCAGGCTGACTCTAGAAGACCTCCAAATGTTCCTCAACAATTATGAGTAACTTTGATGTAGCATTTCAAAATAAAAGCATTCCCATTATTGTTATAGTACCTTTAATGTTACCCTAAGTTGCTGTCTTTATTGCAACTAAATGGTTAGTTGTCAGAGTCTTAATACAGGATGACTGTAAAAGTCCTCCAGATGTTCCTCAATGATATTGAGCAAGTTCGGATGTAGCATTTCAAAATAATGGCACTCCCAATACCGACATTTTACAATTATGGTTCCCCTAACTTGTTGACTTTATTGCAACTAAACGGCTAGTTGTCAGAGACTCGTCTCACTTCAGGCTGACTCTAGAAGACATCAGAAAGTAAAAAAATACAATACTGAATCTAATATTCAATTTATCAGTTACAAAATTTCTTCATCATGACACCACAAGATGTGAAGCACAGAGCAGGTGTTGGGGATGACTCTAAGCTACTTCCCACATCAAGTTTGAGCTCAACGTATGTAAAGTTCACTAAATCATAGATATCTTTGTGTTTTCTGAGGTCAGCTGGCTGCAGGGGTGGTCTGGAACAGTTAATCAGCTGTAAACATACATCTGATGATTATTTCTGAAAAGTTGCAATTAAAATCCATTCAGTGAGTAGTAAGATATTGTGCTAACAGAGAGTTTGAGTTAACCCCAAATACATAATATAAAACACAGATCTTGACCTCTCAGTTTGTGTTGGGGATCAGTCTCAGCTACTGCCTGAGATTTGTCATTATCTGAGTCAAAATCATTTCAATGTTATTTTTTAGCAAACTTTTGAACTGGTTTGACTCCAAAGCTTAAGGTTAGATTTCCTTTCTGTAAGTTTCATAACATTTTATCCACAAGATCCTTTATTAAACACATTAACACACTTAGGCATAAACATTGTTGTCTGACTTTTGGTGGCAGAAGTTAAAAACAAAATGAAGGAACTATTTAATGAAAAAGAAATGCAGACAAACTTCACTGATCAACTTCTTACATGTATGTGAGCTGGTTGGCTCCCCCCTCACTGCATGATCCAAACAGAAACAATATATTCCTGTCAAACATGTGGCAGCAGCACAGTCACCTCACAGTGAGAGGTCACAGGTTTGCCTCCAATCTTGAACTTTCTGTGTGGACTTTACATGTTCTCCCTATGTAG